TCCTCCTTCTTATTTAACCTGGGAATGTCCCTACTGAAAGAATTAGGGATATGATATCAACAGCATAATGCTTAGAAGTTTTGCATAATTCTTTTATATAGTTCTTAGTAAGAAAACATTAGGCTCAAGCCTCAGTATATAGCAAAGCAAATAGAAAAGCTCCACAAAGTTTTGGAGTTAGACCTAAGCATCAGCCTCTCCTGACTCCAGCTTATCAGAATGCTAAGAAAGTTTCTAATGACTCCAAGAGTAAGGGTAGAAATTGAACAAAAGAAAGGATGTGTCACTAAAGGATGTGTCACTATTTAGAGAGAGTAAAGAATAAGTAGATCACTGTAGGCAGTCTCAAAGAACAGAATTCATAGAAGGATTATTTGTAGGCAATCTTTGTATTACTTTTTAATTGAATGAGGCCTGACCCAGAACACCTAATTAAAAATTCCTTGCCGTTTATTATTTCTTTAAATTTTTTCAGTGGTGGAAGATTTTCCTCGACACTGACTTTGAGATTCAAGATTTATTTTTTGCTCATTTTTAGATTATGAGTAGTCCTAAAGATATTTTAAGGCCCTAGACAATATCTACATTCAAAACACTATCTAGATTCACAAGCATTGATTCCTATATAATAATAATTTAAAGTTACATATTGCCCCCTCCTTAGTTGGCACTGATTTAAGATGCAAACTTACTAACATTAGCTTCAGGGCAATACAGATTTGAACCAAGGAAAGAAAGAAGAGAAAGATAATAAGAAAATTCATATTTGAATATGTAATTGGTGGACTAGGTTTGAGTTCCTGGAGTTTACAGATATTAAGACTAACTCTCTTTTGGGTGGTTTTATGAGTACTTGTCCCAGCACTGGGGCTGTTTACCTCTGGTTACCTAGTGGACAGGTAGGCATTTAAGTGGAAGATTTAGATTGTCTCTGCCCTTATGAGCTGTTGAAAGATATCTGGGCCTCATCCAAAACAATCACTTTATCTCTTTTGGTGGCTTGAATAGATTGAATCCAAAGCAATCCACATCGACATTATTAAGTCACATTACAATTATACCTACTTAAATAATCAGCCTGACTAATTTTAGGGCCAAGAATGGATCCAAACTCTGAGGCTTCTGTTTCTTTTGGTGTTTCATGGACCTGTTCTGGAGCCAGACCTCATTAGTACTTTTATCCAGTCTCTACAGCATGAATTGGGACACTACAAGCTTGGATCTACCCTTATCAGGGAATCTTGTCCTTTGATCCCTAGGCCTAAAATATATCATGCACACAATGTCAAGCAGATGTCTCAATTATTCTCACTGCTGCCAATGAGAATACGAATATGAAAATACCACTTTCAGCACTTTGATATGCTAATTCAAGCATAGCCACATTCATTCACTGTTTTGAGTGGAGGGCAAAGTGGGGTCCTGAGAGATCAAAGTCATATGCCCAGGGGAGGAGCATATGGCTCACTGAGCTATTTGCAAAGAGTAGCTTCTTGGTGCAAGGTTAAGTATACATCCTGAAACCAAATTGTACACCCTACATTCTGATTCATACACCCTACATCCAGGCCACAAGAAACATGGGTATTTTGCCTGGCAAATTTGGAAGGACAGGCTGATTTGAAGGTACTAGAAAGTATTTCCTTAGCACCAAACTAGTTGGTGAGCCAGTCTCTTTACCTCTTGACTTTTCTGGACATGGCACTGCAGCAGTAAGATACCAAGCTCTCTCAATAGGTTTGTTGGAGATGCTCCTCCATCTAAAGGAGCATTCAGAGATTAAGTACCACTGAACTTCCACTGCTTTGGGACTGTAGGATCTCAGAGATGTAAGAATTTCATAATCATTTCCTTCGTAAATCTGAGTTTGGGTTTCACACATTACTTTCCTGTGAAGCATCTACTTAGTCTTCATGTGTTATTCGGAGCTTGGCATTCAGTTCAGCAAGAAATTTCTTGCTTGGACAAATAGGAAATTGAGGCTAAGTAAGACACAAAAACATTATTTTTTGCTTCTCTGAGAGATAAAAACTATTTTTCTTTTCTTAATAAGATAATAACTTACTATTTCTCTTTTAATAATTTAGTATGAATAAGCAATGGAAAAGGTGTCATGATTTTTTTCTCTTTATAATTTTTAATTATAGTATGTATTTGGGAATGGTATTTCTCAGCTCATATTTATTTTTTCTTCTGTCTTTTTGAGACAGAGTCTCCCTGAATCCCAGCAGGCCTGTAATTTACCATGTAGACCAGACCTTGGTGTCACAGAGATCACCTACCTCCACCTCCCAAGTGCTGGGATTAAAGGTGTGTGCCACCATGCCTGGCTCCCTCTGAAATGTAAAAGAGCAATAACTCTTTAAATAAAACCACAAGGGCTGATCTTGCACTGTAGGAATTGCTGCCCTACGTGCCATTAATTTCAGTTTGCACTTCTCTCTACTAGTTACAGAAATGGTCTCTATATCGAGAATGATTATATGTTTATTAGTGAAATCATGTCTCACAGAAAATGTCATATTAAAAAATGTTACTAATGTCAGTTTTGCTATGCCAAACTCTTGAGAGAAACTCCTCTCATAGATGAAAGGTAGTTGTTTATTTTTTATCAAAGAAGAAATGACATCGTATTAGCTGAAGAAGTCTCCTTTTTCTTAAAAATATATATATGTTCATATATAATGAAAAAAGATTGCTTAGAGTTCACAGAAGAGAAAAACCAATACCTACACCAGTTTCACATTACTTCCTTCTAAGATGTTAAAATGTTACCAGACAACAAAGATTGCATATGAAACATTGCTATAAGTCTAAATATAAAAGGCTTTGGCAGAAGTAAAATTAGATAGGGCATAAAATTGAGTAATCTTGATCTATTTTAGTTTTCAAAGTTACACAAGAATTAACATGGAATCAAAACTATGATCCATCCAGCCCAGAATTTTACTAGAAAAACAGTTCAAACATAGATGGGGCTGCAGGACATTATTTTAAGCTAGGCACAGAAACAAATATCACATTCCTCATGATTT